ACGGGGAATTTTTACTCTGCCAGAACGATGGAAAAAGGTCATCGACAAGAACGGCCAATATCTACTTGAATAAAGTTATATTTTTAAACAAAAATTCCGAGTTTGCCTTCTTATTTGAAATCGGCAATGACTTAGTTGCCCACCCCATATTTCGAATTAAAAGCAAATCAGATTCGGATTGCAATTAACCCAACAATATGTACCTCTGGAGACTAAACGTGGAGTAAGTTCATTAAGGTAATGAAAAAGGCTCTCGCAGTTAAGCATTTCGAGCAAATGAATAAAGAAACGTAACAAAAAATTTCTCTCAACATTAAAAAGACACATCATTTGAACACAGCAATGACTATATACTAGATAGCCAATAGCGGAGAGGAAATAAAGATATTGCACAAAGCCTGTAACCGACAACACAATTATCTTCCAACAAGCAGACTTTTCCCTACAACTTTTATTTAAATAGTGATTCATGAAAAGGAGCGTAAAGAAAAATCGACTTCAGGTTAAAATACACAACGAAACTGTCAATTAGCCTTACCTGACTATATTCGCCTTCGGTATTTTCACGAATGACAACAATATCAACGTCCTTGTGGCGAGTTATTACGCCCGGAAAACTGTAGCATCGTTGTACGTAAGCGAAGAGGTCTAACTCCTTCCGAATCATCAGATTCTTCGACTTCATTCCTACAGGAAAATAAAAACAATTTAGCAATGACGTTTAGGAATTAGGAGCAAAACTACACCTACAGCTACGGCATGTTGAAATAAAAAGCTGTTCATGCATAACAAATTAAGTGTGCGATACAAAGGATACAGCAGTACAAATTCAACTACATAACTACTCAACTATCAAAATTAAACAAACTAGATACATGATGTCATTCGTCTTTGCCAAAAGCAATAAGCATTTAAAAATATTTAGCCTGAACAACTGAGGGGAAAATTGGTTCAAATATTGTAAATAAATGGAAGAATTAATCACTAAATCTGATATAAAACAGGTTATAAAATAACTCAGCAGAGCGATAGCCATTGTGGGGATTTTTATCCAAAGATCCCAAAGTGGTTTACAAAGCAGGAATTAAAAAAAAGAATGAAAATTGCAAAAGGAAGCGGTAACTAACCCGGTACAGTTTTAATGCCACCCTTCAAGGCCACTCCATTCCTTTGCACCGCCAAAATGGCTTCCTTAACGGACTCATCACCGGCGTTTGTGTCAAGTGATACTTCATCAAAGTCTACAGGCGCCCCAAGGGCGTAATAAACAGACTTGACATGTTCCATCATCTCAGGACTAATACCATCTCCTATTAACATGGTAACGGTGCGGCGCCCACCGTACATGGCTCGAGGAAGGGAAGCACGAGCTCCTTGAGGAAGACCGAGGGTTGAAGGTAGAGCACCATAAGGTCGATCAACCTTGGTTTGAGGAACGACAGTGGAGGTGTCATGGGCCAATGTGCGCAATAAAATTAACTAAAAGAGAACCGCTTCACAATTAATGGATTTAAGGTGAACGGCTTAAAGATATTATATGCT